TATATATATATATATATTGGTTTGTAGAATAGGTATCATGGTTTCAGTGTCAAGACTGCCCTGGACAGATGTGCCTGACAAGGTGTTAGGCAAGGCATCTAAACTTTTGCAACTACATATACTTTCCCACCTTTCATCTAGCTTGTTTATTTGGATAACAGGCTATAAGAAACAGGGCTGTGATACTACTATTAAAAAATGTCACTGCACATGGCCACAGTGCAGGGATGGTTATGAAGGGTCAGACATGGAAACCTGTGTATGAACCACAAAGCATGTTTCAAAAGAGAGCAGCCTCACCATGTTACCATGTCTGCACACATAATGTAGTTTAGCCACATCAGTATGTGGTGCAACTGCATGTGTATGTGGTATAACTGTGGTGTAACTGTGTACATGCAAATAAAAGCATATGTGAAACTGAAGAACATACGACACTTTGGATTATAACTCAGGCTGCCACTAGGCAGATGTCAATTACATCTCTTTCATATATTTTTCTCACCTTCATAGTTGTAGCTAATGTAGTACCTATCTTCCTGGCAGCATAGTTAGTTATTTTTTCTGTTCACTGATTGGCGTATTTCACTGTTGAATTTCATCCTCCAGTTTATCATGCAGTGTTTTCTGCCATAAAATCTTCTGCACATTTTGATGGTCTGTCTTTATTTCAGTTGTTCAGACTGATTCTTTACAATTAGCATACTCCACCTGAATCCTCAAACCACCTTTCCAAAATTGTTTGTGAAGATGCTGAACGCAGGTCTCAGAGTGGATCCCTGTGGGATGTCACTGGGGTTTCTCCATTCTATAACAAGGCCATTTATTCCTATCTTTTAACTTCTAACTTTTAATGTGAGTCTCAAACAACCTGCACTCTTATCCTATGAGAAACTATCCTCTAAAAAATATTTATTGAAATTTTTCTCCAAAAGGTCTTTAAGCTAAAATACACTTATTGACCTGATCATCCTCATCCATGTGTTTATTGTCTTCACAGAATAACTCAGAAGATTTATCATGCATTAATTTTTTTTATTTTTTTTTTTAAAGAGTTCAACTCTTCCCAAGTGTCATTTCTCCTTACTATAATTTCTGTTAATTTCATTCATATGTAAATCATATTGGTCTGTTCCTGCCAAATTCGGCCATAGAGTCCTTTTAAAATACTTGGTTATACTGCCATCTTCCATTCCTCTGATTCCAGGATTGCACAGCAGATAGTTCATCAGTTCTGTGTTTTAGTTCCCTCAAAGCTCTTGGCCATCTGCTGTATGATCCCACCCTTTGTTTCATTTATTGGGTTTTTTCCCCCCTAAAATTTCTCCAAACATTTCACAGTGAAAAATGAGCCCAGAGGTACATTATCCGCTCCAGACACAATTATGCAGTGCCTATTTTGTGATAAGCAGTTCTTCAATATAGATCAGGAAAGTTCTCTATATGCTGAAGAAGAAAGAAAACTGAAGAACAAACTAGGCCATACTTTCTCACATTAGCTCATTTCGGGAAAAAAAAATAGTTTGAAAAGCTGAAAAAAGTCTGAAAATTCTGAAAAGCAGATCTACGTAGGCAGAGCTTGGTCATTTGTGTCATGTTCACCTGAAGAAAGGCCTGTTGGCAGTGTCTCATATGCCTTAATTATGTGGCTGCCAACTTTATTCTTGGACTCCAAATACTCCCCATGGTTTGTTTCTAGATAGGTACCTTCTTATGCAGTAGATTGGCACGTGACATTTGATTGTAAAAGCAAAACATTCCAGTATCATACTAGTGCTTGAAAAAGCAGCATAGATTTGTCTTACTCACTTCTCTAGCTTGGATGGCATAAGAATTAAGAAATGACAGCCCACCTTTCCACCTCATCATACAGGCATGATTATTTTACAGATAAAGTAACCCCTATTTTTTGCATCTTAAAGGAGGAAGGCTTATGCAAAGGTTCTTATACCTCTAAGAATACAAGCTCCTCTATGAGACAACATGATACATGCCAGGAGTTTGCTCTGAGACAATTCTTATTATCTTTACCAGATCTCTCTCATTTATTTTTTTTTTCCTAACAAATTAAAAAATCTGGACCCAATCTATTTCATTCCACAGCTGTGAATAATCTACTCGAGCATATATGAGATAAAATATTTGCAGTAGTTCTTGTTAAGAAACTATGCTTTTCCTTAAGGTTAGACAGGGTTGACTGAAAATGAATATTCTTCTAAACACATTACTGTAACTCAGAAGACAGACTCTTAGCCTTAATAACAGTAACAATGATAATAAACAATAGTGTTGTTAGTAATAGAATGTATTTCTAAATGTCAGTAATGGTATTTTTAAACAAAAAAGGCTAGCAATGTACTGTAAATGTGTGCTATGAGGAACATTAGCATGTAGCTGCCAGACAATCTCAACGAAGGATTTCATTGTTGAATTATGAAATCATTGTATTTGATATTATTATACACATAGACTCCAGATCTGATGCAGATTGCATTCAAGAAGGATTCCAAGCAGCTTCAGAGGTCATCATTAACCCTCTGCCAAGCAGGATATAGATAAGTATTAAATAAATCTATAGATTTTACCTAGTTCTAGAACAGTTTGTATAGTGTTATTTTTCACTCATTGTGATAAAAGCATGGTCAAGATAGAAAAGAAAACATTGATTTCTATTTTTCTCTAGACCACAAAGATACATAAGGACACACCCATGTACCATTTTCAAATGGCTTAACACGAAATGTCATTTACAGATTCTTCCTTTCAGAGACATCTGTTCTGCACCTGTTTTCTTAATGTCTGTTTCTATAGATCATCTCCTGGTGTTCAAAATACTTGCCCTTTCAGAGGAACTTTCACTTGGACACATGAAAATGTATGAACAATCCTACCTTTAGCAGGTAAGCTTGGCAGTCACTGATATAATCATATTCCAATCCATCAAAGGTATGATAATGTCGATCTCCATAAAGAGTGCATACAGCAGGACAGGGGTAACTGGTGCAGTTGAATATTCCTCTCCGACAAACACTGTAAGGAAAATTAACAATCACTATTCTCTCATAGCAGGGTCATTTTCTTTTTAATTTGTTTTTTTTTTTTTTCTTCCAGTAAAAGCTTTCTTGGGTTCTTTATTTCAAGCCATACAGAAATTCATGAAAGGAAGAAAATTCCCAGACCTTGAAACACAGAGCCATTCTGTGGATTGCATCTGAAGTTACTGGTGATGCCACAGCAGAAGAGCGTTGAGCATTCTGCTATCAGCACATATGTATGATAAAAATTCATAAGAAATGAATGTAAAACCTTAACATTTTTATGGCTTATGCAAATATTTCCATCACAGCCTCCAGTATAGATAAGATACCATGACACAACATACTTATTCATAAAACATCAATATTCTTTTTTTTCTCAAGAAATTCCAATTAAAATCTGCACATATTTAATGCAAAAGACCTCCAGTTACTACCTGTATGTATCCAGGGTATCAGACAAGTATGGAATGAGATTAAGAAATAAATGTTGATATTCTGCAGGATTACTTTTCCTGTCAACTACATTCAGTGACTTTCATGAATTTACATGAAGGTAGTACTGACAGTTTCTAGTTTTGCTTGTGTAAGTGCTTAAGCTCAATTGGTTTGCCAATGAAGTTTTTAAGTGATTAAAAGCTGCCATGCCAAACTTAAATGTAGATAGATATTTTGGCTAGCAAATTATAACAGATCAAAAACTGTTCTGCGTCAATATGAGCCAGATAAGGCTCCTTAATAAAGATGCTGGGCACCGGCACATTTTCCAGTTCTAATGCTTTTTTATTTACCCATCTTCTTCCTATATAGTCACTCATACTGACTGGTAAGTTGCACTGCAAACAGTCCAGTTCCCAAAGGACCAGACTATTTACCACTGTCATACATTTGATTTCTCCTTTTCCTCCTTGATTGTCTTCTCCATTCTATTCTCCAAAATGCCAAATGTCGTTTTTTTCAGAGATTAACTGATATGTGTGGAATCAATCACTTGTTCTTGGCTGCTTTTTAACTTGGATATCTTTTGTATCATTTTCAGACCTGAAGAAACACTCACCCAAAAATCTGCCTGCTCTTCCAAGTCTATTAGTGAGCCTAATAAAAGATATATGCTGCAACTGTCTATAAATAAGCATATACATTTTTGACTTTTCAATGTACTCAGCACATTTGCTGTATCAGTTTCACTTTGTGGCTAGGCTAAGATGATTTGCAAGTATGCAAAATGCATGTCACTCACCAGGTGTAACATGGTGTAGCTATCACTTCTCCTGACAGAAATTCCCTGTCTTTCCAGGTGCATGGACAACTGTCAGGAATATAACATTTCCCTCTATGCTCAGCCATCCTTCAAAATAAAAGAATTATTGAGATGAAAGCATAAATTTGCAGGAAGATCAGCATGTCTAAATGTGCTTGTCTAAACGCCACCAAAAGCAACCAGCTTTGGCTAAAGCTTTCTGAATCAAATGACTTCCACTGCGCACAGGTGGAGACCTCACAAAGCTCACAGCTGCGGCTCCCCTACTTCAAAATGGGTATGTTGGAGTGGGGCAGCAGCTCCTATGTAAGCATGCAAGTACTGTAGTTATTCCTCTCTGCAAACCAGCGAGCATCTGTGTGTTATGCACTCTGCTGAGGCTGCAGCTAGGCTGTCCTTCCCTCTCTGCTGCTCCCTTGTCCCCCTGTCCCAGGGAAGTAGCTGGACTGATATGCCTGCTCCTCTGTGCAGAGCAGCAACCATCCTGTTCTGAGCACAGGATAGTGAGCTGGACTATGGCAGCTCCTGCAGAGTTAGTAGGACAAAAGAAACACAGCTTACACAGTGCAGTGGACCTGCCTACCAAAGGGAAGTGGAAACAACTATCAAGGTTACAGTATCATTAAAAGCAAAAAAGCAGGAAATCTTACTAGATCATGAGTAAGTAACCCAGAGATGCGGTTAACCACTTTTTGTTATCCCCTCATTTCCATCTGATTAGCAACATTAAATAACAGATGTTACTGACACTCCCAATGCTGCTCTTTACAGGAGCAATTCCTGAAGTTGTCATTGCTAGACATGGTTGAGTACAAAGGTAGATGTGTTTTCAAAGAATGATCTTGAGATTGCTTCACTTGAAGTTAAAAGGAATACAGTTTTCTCCTCCCCATAATTACTGGTTCATTGAAGATACATTGGTTCTAAGAAAAAGAGTCAAGTGGTCAGAAGAACTATTAGATATGGGAAAGCACTAGAATGTATGGCTTGGAGAGGTCATTTAGAGTCTTTGTCAATAGAAGTTAAATATCTGCCAAGAACAACATAGGTATTGCTGATGTCATCTAAGGGCAGGAGAACAGCTCCATGAGGTCCCTTTCCATGCTACTCTTCTGTATTTCTGTAATTCAGCTTATCTTCTTACATCTCCAGCTCAGTGTTACGGTACCTTTCAGTGTATCCTTGGGTGATGAATTTACTGTCATTCTCAGCTCATTTCCTCATGAAATTTTGAGCTATTCTATTCAATTTTTATAGCATACCAGAGACTTTCTTATCCTTTGTCACCTCTTTAACTTCTGAGTAAAAATCTGCAAGCTGTTGTGCAAGAATTTTAACAACAGAATATGTAAAACATTTTTACTTTAAAAGGACCATTTTGTGCATACTAGACTTCATCCAGACATGGGTTTCCAAAGGAAAGGGTTCCAATACCACCCACAATCTGCTTTACTTTGTGAGCACTGTAAGTACCCAGGATGCTAGAATCAGGTGTCAGTCTCCAGAAGAATTCAAGATTCCACCCCAACATGTTAGGTGATTGGCTCAAACAATGGGTGGTGGTAGAAATCAGGTAGGAAAGAAGAAACAAAGAACAGCATCTTAAGAGAATAAAGAAATGACATAACAGTAAAAATTCTCATAACAAGGCTTTCATAAGTTGTCAATATAGATTTAATATCATAAGGTATATGCTTAACATTTTCTTCTATAAAAAAGAGAACTTGTGAACTCAATTTTTAAGATAACTCTTATGGCCCCTTCCTAGCTAAAAGCTATGCTCACTTCTTGGAACCATGAGCCTGAAAGGCATAATGGCCTCAGAAATCCAGTTTAACAGCAATGATGGTACTAACTGTACTAAATGTTGCACATTTACTTTTCTATCTAATAGCAAATTAAGTGTTTATTCTCTTATTTAGCAAAATAATTCATGTCTTCTACTCCATTATTTGACAGAAACATGGGATTTGGCTTGTTTGTATCCCTTTTATGGTTTATTATTCTGGAAATATTCAAGTAACATTCAATTTGAAATGGTGTAATACTACTTAACTGTGAAAGCAGGGCTTTAGCTCTGGTTTCTAACATATATTTTAATTATTTCAAATTTTCAAACAAACTTTCATGACAATGTTGCTAGTTTAAGTTCATGCAAGTACCGTTGTGATGTTTCAGTAAAAATTTACTAGTTTTTATATGATGCCTTGAACAGATTCATGCATATTTGTGTTAAAAATCATTGTTTATTCCTGTAACACTAATAGTCTTGAAAGCTAACTCCTCAGTTGCAGAGGTTACAGAGGACTACTAAATACCAGGCAAGAACAGCCAGTGAAATCTTAGATAACTGTGCCTGAAATCTGTCCTTCACCAGTGCTTAGTCATCTATGAACATCACAAGCTGCTGGAAAAGGAATTCTGGCAGTCTCACTACGCTCTGATCTGTGCACTGCTAATGTACTGTCAAGCTACACATACAGTGAAACACTATCAAATCTTGAGAAAAAACAGGGAGCACTTCACCTGAGGCCAAATTGCAGCAATCTGCACAACATATTTGATTCTTCAAATCTGAGAATGCACACATCAGGCAACATGGGAGGAAATGGAAATGGAGGGAGTGGTAGCTGATCCTGACAGAAACTTCGTAACAAATGCTTTTAGCTTTTGTACTTGGATTGACCTCTGCAAAGCTCAGCGGACTGTTTCTGGGCACCAAATCCAAATACATGTGCTGAGAAAAAAACTTTGGCTGAGTTCAAAAGGGCAGAGAGAACGAGCATGAAGAGAGCAGGATCCAGCCTGGCTCAGCCCTCCTCCCTGCTCCAGGTTAGGCATCAGTACTGTAAGCCTGAGTAGAAGTCTAGGTGAGACAATTACTTGGGCAGTAAGCAGGAATACAGATGGCTTACATTACCATTTCTTGTTATGTTTGCTTCTACAGTCAAACAAACTATACTGTGCAAGTGGTGGGAGCCATCTCCTGTCCAGAGAGTCCCAAATACCAGCCAATCAGACTGGATATCTCATAGGATAGTGGAATCACGGTCTCACAATTGACAAACTGTGGGACTCCAACTGAAGCAGCATTATAGCACAAAGCCTCACACCAGAAGGAAGGAGAAAAGAGCTCTCAGAGACAAATGAAAGAGTTGGCCTTTTGACTGTGACTGTATATCCGCAAAAATTTTGAGAACAATAGGTTCAAAATTAGAGGTGTGATACCACTGGAATTTAAAAAGTACAAAAAAATATGCAGAGTTAAACTGTGAAAAATATGTATGTGCCTTGTGTTCCAGGTTGTTCTGCCAAAGCTTACCCAGGGGGGCAAATGCAACCACTTCCACAGGGTGGTGAGGGGACACAGGAGAAGTTCATGGCAAGGTTCGCACAAGAGATCCCACAATTCACACCCGCTGCTGGTAATCCAGGCACAGGAGATCTGCAGTCATAGTAGATTTTTCCTTCGGGGCATATGTGAACTTCAATGCAAAATGCAGGTTAAATGAGATCAACTGCTCTTTTACACTGAAGGTTTTCTATTTATTTTTGTTCACAGAGTATTTCTTTCAGTGCACATTGAGCCTACATTGCAGTACACATAACACGATCTGGATAAAATTCTATAACTTCATTGGTATTACAGAGATATAAAATTAGTATATGAAGCATCTGGATTTATGCACTCTGGATCTGATGCACAGCCCGTTCTTAAGGATGGGCTAATTATGCCTTAGGTAAAGAGAATCTTTAGAAGTGGCATAATTTTCAGTGTACTGAAATCACTTCTAAACTCATTAGAAATTCATTAAAAATTTGCTTTCTAGAGATCAAGGCTTAAGGTTTCCTAAACATGGATAGTGAGCCTAATTTTAGGTATTCCCATGAGAACATATTGACCTGCACCTCACATGCAATTATTTATCTTTTTAATTTCCCAAGTGACTTAGTAGTACAATTTGTGCTACAGAAAAAGGACAAAGAAAAAAGCAAGATAACTTGTGCTCTTAACCTCTTATTTTAAATATGTCATGATGTTAAGCATCTCATAATGAAAGTACCTATGAGGAAAAAAACAAATGACTATTCAATGTCAAAAACTTTCTCTAACATGAGACAAAACTAAATTACCTGTATTTTCTGTAGCGGCTTCAGTACATTTCACTGTTCCATTCAAACACTGACTGGAAAAAAGAAAAGCAAACCCATCTTCATTCAAGGCCAAAATGTTTTTTAGTCACCATGCTAAAAAAGACAATACATCTTAACCCAATCTAAACAACAGAAATGGGGAGGAGAAGGAGGATTAAAATCTAAAAGCAGGAGTTCTGACCAACATTTTCTTGGTGTTTTCTAATCAGTGATCTGTAGTGAGGGCCCAAACTCCAAGAGGTTTATGTGCTATTTGATTGCCTAACTTTCACTGAAATAAAAGAGAAGCTAGGTATGTCAGCCCCTGTGGGACCAAAGGGCCAGGTGATTCAGGCTGCTGGCAGTGTAACACAAAACCTTATCTGTGTTGAGGAATATGGAAGGATACAGTATGCAAATTTGCTGTTGCACAGACATTAGGAGACACATCTTGATTCTATTATGATAAAATACAGAACTGCAGAAAAACACATTTGACAATAAACCTAGTCCTCATTTTTTCCTTTTACTTAAAACCAAAAAATTTGGAAAAACAACATTGCAGAGGCATAGCAATGGCAGAAGAATGAAGCCCCTACTTTCACCTCTTGAATGATGTGATTATCAAGCTTCAGTTATAACAACTATAATATGTAAGACCTCAGCAAGAATTAAACTTGGCACGAAAGTCACAAACATGATTTTAGATCAGCAGGTTGAGTATATTTCTTGTAAAACAAACAAGTTTGACCAGGAAATCTGGGAGGTTTCCCACTTGTTTCAGTGAGGTCAGGATTCCATCATGAATTAATAATACAAAACGACACAAATATAGCTCCTTGCAAGCCTTTGTTTAAAAGACTTTCCAAATTAGAATCACATTGTTTATTCTTCCAAAATCAGCCTCATATTTCTATCATAACACCCCCAGGTCTAAGAACAGGACTGGATCCTCTATGTGTGTGTGTTTTGAGATATTCTTTAGTCCCTGGCTTACAGAATTTTTGAGGTATCCTGTTGTTAAAATAAGCAGGTGCGTAATCTAATTTATATTAGGCTCCCTTCTACTAAATGTGTAACAAAAATAAAATCTTGATACAATACGCATTCATTCTATGTGAAAGAATTCTCAAGGCCATTGAGTAGCATCCAAACTGTGATACATGAAAGGTAAAATTCTTGGCACTCAAACCTACCAGGAGCCAGTTGGTGTAGGGAGGGTTTCTCCAGGCTGGAGAACTTTGCCCTTGTAATGACAATGACAGGCAGATCTGTTAAAAGAATATTTATGTAGGTACAAAAGCAAGACAAAATGTGGATTTTAGGACAATCCATTTATCAAGCTAATATGATAAGCAAGCCTTACAATTCTACATTTTTCTAAGGTCAAAAAACTAAAGGATGACCTTTTGACTGTATTGAAGTCAGTGCAAAACTCCCATCTTCAACAATGCCAGGATTTTCCTCAGTCTGTATCATTTATTTGCTGTTTCTGTTCATTAGTCTTACAGAAAGGAGCTTTTCTTCCCAGTTATGGGAGTAGTATGGCAACATGTAGTTCCCATTCAAGTTACCATCAAAATCGTGGGACATAAGAATTACCATAGCAAAATCTATTAACTACATCTGTGATAACAGCCAGATGGGATAGAACATCAACAGAATTCCCTAGTAAACATGCAAAAATACGGGAATCCAGGTTACCTCACACTTTTTAATAGTTTGAAACAGTCTTTATCACTACAATATGAACTTTACTGATCTTTTCAATATATATATATACAACGAAAAGCAATAACTCTGTATAATCTTGAAATTTATATGAATACTCCTTCCAGTTTTTAATTCACTGCCTGAACTCAGTAACTCCCCATGGTGGTGAGCTGTAAAATGTCAGTACACAATCATAGAATCTTAGAATGGTTTGGGTTGGAAAGGACCTTAAGATTATCTAGTTCCAACCCCTCTGCTGGGACACCTTCCACTAGATCAGGTTACTCAAGACTCCATCCAGCCTGGCCTTGAAGACTGCCAGGAATGGAGCAGCCACAACTTCTTTGGGCAGCTTGTTCCAGCGACTCAAGACTCTCACAGTAAGGAACAAAACTATTTCCTTTTATTGACCATTTCCTTCCGTTTAACTGAAGGGGTTTGCATTGTGGGACAGAAAAAAAGACACTCCTAACTACTTTCTCCATATTACCCCTCTTTAAGTATTGCTACTACATAGATTGCTACTACTCCTTCTAATTTTTTCTTAAGTGTTAAAAACACGCTTTCCCATGAATTAAAAAAGTTTTATCACCCTTCTTTGAAGCAGTGACACTTCTTCTCTGAAGTCAATAGCTGTACACAAAGTAGCAGATGAGGCCCCACTATTGATTAGTACAAAAGAATATGAAATCTTCACATATTACTTGCTATCCTGTTTAGGCAGTCTGTATCTTGAGGGAAACAGCAGGAAAACTACTTTAAATCTTGCTGGAAAGAGGAAAATGTGCCTATGTATAGATTCTATTTTCTTACAACTTACATTGACACACAAAAGTTGACCGACTCTTCAAAATATTTTCCGTCAGGACAATTACATCCTTCTGCACAGTCATCACCACAGATATTTGCCATAGAAAGTGAAGCACAGGAATGTTTACAAAAAGAAGAGCACTGATGATAAAGCATACCACTGTGACACATCACAGCTGGAGGAGAGAGAGAAAGAGAAGGGAGAACAACACACTCTTAAAATGTGAAAAATAGAAAACAAAGCAGCATATAACGGGAGTGCAAAACAGAAAAGCAAAATGGTCTCTTGCTGCACTGGGGTGAGTTGAAATGCATGAGAAAAACATGCTGTTTTACTGATTTTGTAAGTTAGAACTGTTTAGATTCAGGTGGGTTTATGTTAGACAGTTCCTTGGCTGGAATTGTCTGTTCTGTAAGCAATGGGTGTCTTTATATGTGTAGGTGTGTCTATCTAGTAACTCAGGCATCCAAGAGAGGAAGAATGGTCCAATTAAGGTTGAGGCATTACTGTATGGTTCAAAAATGCCTTGTTTTAAATTATTGCTGTATCCTACTTGGCAAATCACTGTCCACCCTGCCCTACCTGACCTGGAGAGCCCCTGCCACCCTGGCTTGCCTTCCCTTAGGAAGAGTAGTGTTCCTGCCACTCCCTGACTACTTCAGCCTAATAGAAACTTCCATATGATTTAGGGGTTCAAAGCCAGAAATTTAAATAGCCAGTGGAAAGGGACAGGCATTCCCTGTGAGACAGCTCAGGGTCCCTTACTCAGATGCCTAATGCTTTTTGTGTTCTATCCTGAGCATTGTCGTTATCCCACGGCACAATTCTGGTTTCTAGAAAAAAAGGACAATCCCTGTACTTTGTGGAGTGAATAGAATTTTACACATTTCTAAAAGATATTCCATTCTGCAAACATTACTCACCACAGTAAGAAATATGAGATCTGAAGTCAATGACAACCCCGTGCTTGCTACACACGTAAGCGTAGTGTGCCAAAGCATTACACAAACAGCTGCTCCCACATTTGCACGCATCGAAGCGGCATTGCTGGTAGTATAATCCTGGACTGATGTAGGCATGACAGGGAGCAAAAACTTCTTGATTGATGATATCACAGTGAGATGCATACCCAGCTAAGAGAAGATGACATTGGTTTAGCCTGATCCATTTTAATATAACAGTCACTCAAATGAATAGCACAGAATATTTTTTACAAGGAGTCACATGGGAAAGGCAAAGAATAATAGACACAAGTTACTCCTGGGGAAATTCTGGTAAACACTAGGGAAAATTTTTCACAAGGAGAACACTCAGCCACTGGAATAATCTCACCGAGGAAGTTGTAGATTCCCCAATGCTGGACACTTTTAAGATCTATCTGGACAGGGTGCTGGGACATCTAGTCCAGGTCATGCTTTTCCTAGAAAGGTTGGACCAGATGAACCTTGAGGCCTCTTCCAACCTGGTATTCTATGATCCTATGGTTCCATTGGAAGAGTGTCCCTACCCTTCATCCTTCCCACATACACACACTGACATAAGGATTTCTGTAGTCTCTCAGTAAACTAGATTCAAGGAGTGAACTTAACTTGGTTGAAAAATAACCTGACAAAACAAACGAACAAACAAATTTATTTTTTTTTTTTTTTTTTCAGTTTCATCAGATTAAGTTCATCACAGACCTGGAAAAATGCTTGTGCTGGCTCAGTACAGGCGGTAGCGTGGGGCAGGACCATTTACTCAGAAATTGTTTTTTCCAGTGATGATTACAAGATCACAAGAAAATTCAGGCTGGAAGGGACCTCAGAAGATCATTTAGTCCACCCTCATGCTCTAAGCAGCTTACATTTATGTCAAACTTTGCCTTCACCAAGGAAGCACAGAACTGAAGGAGAGGCATGAAGTATTTTGGAGAGAGCTAACTTTTCTGAGATGTACTGTTTTAGAAGACAGACAATGCTGAAGTCATAAAAAGCCAAAATGACCCAGATTCTTAGAGGTTTATGGTTATTCTAGGCTTGCTCCCACAGGCTTTAAATATGGCCAAATCCTACATCCTTAGTGACGCCTTATGTCTCAAACACTAATAACATTAGATTAAATTCTGTCAAAACTGGCAACTACTGTCTGCCCATTGTCTTCATTAATTGAAAAGAATAGCAACGTGGAAAGGAGGAGACAGTGAAAGTTCAATGCAAAACATAGGCACATCAACCAGCCAAAACTAAGTCTTTACTCAGGAATTTGAACAAATACACAAAGCTCAGATTGTTTGCATCCATTTGTGTCAAAGAGCATAGATGAAGGATAAAGAAACTTTTAATGCAACAAGCATGGAGAAACCAGAGACAGGACCATTGATGTGAACATTGTCTTGGCAAGACACTGTCTCTTGTACTTCCTTTATCAATCTAAAAATGTGCATCATATCACTCCTCTTGACTGGCAGAGAAAACAAAAAATGTCACATAATAATAAGATACAGGTAATTCCTGACTCGTATGTGAAAACATACCATTTTGCTGATTAACATTGCAGGGATCAACCACAGGAATGTTGATAGGCATAGAACAAGCTGAGGAAACCTTCCATGCATTTGCATGAAGTTGTGGGGTCCCTTCTATCATGCCTGCTGGAGAACTGAAAAGGAAAAGATCAACACTGCAAGTGTCCTGCTGACCTTACGGACTATATGGGTGAGGATACAAGTACATCAAAATCCTTAGATGCATAGTCACATTGAACATAACCTGTCAAAAGAATTTCCATCTGTGAGGTACAAAAGAAGTGTGAAGCTTTTTCCTCAATGTTACTCATGAAAAAATATTCTTACATTCAAAGTCAGCCCCCACTTACACCTAATTCAAGTACTCTCAAATCAGATGGAGAAGGCATTGATGAAAGGAGAATTCAGCCTTTACTTGAGTCCATACGTTCAATGAAATGTCAAAAATTTGACCTTTTAGTTAATTTCAGTGTTATAGAGGGGAGTTGTTTGCATTTTGATGCCAATTTCACTAAGTATTTATTTCAGAAGCATTTGTTATTGCTATAGAAGTTTTGTGATATGATAGATGGAGGAACTTTGGAGGAAATGAAGCAAAAGAAGGAAAGTTTGCCTTTCTAATTAAACTATTCCTGTGGTTCAGAATTATTTTTTTTCCCATTAAAACTTGAAGGGGAAATCAACAGGAGTAAGAGTTAATCAGGTGGGATGATACTAGTATTATCATTCACTCTTTGTCACTGCTCATCTATTTATTTGCTCTGATGATAAGGGAGCAGCAGGGAGGGAAAAATGTGCATTCAAGAAATACCATTATCCAATAATTTCTATAAATAATATGTTAGTTTTCCAGAATTACTTAGCTAAACATCTTAGAAAATGACCTAGCTAAATTTATGAGTTTCATATTTTTAAGTGACTAACGTTTTAATTAAAAGATTTTACATTGGTTAGATTAATAAAATATGAGCATGTTAATGAAATTAAATTTTTCTAATTAAACACAACCTAAATGTACAATGTGCAACTCACAGAAAATCATCTCTTAAATTCCCATTGTATGTTCCACATAGTCCTAATGTTCTTTTCTTCCAGCCAGCATCAACTTGAACATAGATCCTCTCTCCATCTTTAGCAAACAGTATCTTCAAACCAAAACTAGTTTTCAGTTGAAAAAACGAAGAAGATATATTCTGAACTTTAATAACCCCTGCACATAGCAAAAGAAAAAGAAAAACTAAGGCACTGAAATCCAGCTTCTAGGTTGTATTGGTTTACCTCTTAAGCAAAATAGACTTTCAAAACTCAAAAATAAAATGAGGCTGTACAGTCTCGCCTGCAGCCAAATAATCTCACCCATTCTCCATCTGAACTTATGAGACTTCATCTCTTTTGCATTAGCAACACAAATCAGGAATTGCAACTACTGTCGACAGTAAAAAATCTCGCACCTTTCTGTACCTGTGAGTTATATAAAAACCACTCTAGCATTTATTTATTTAATTTTTTTAGAAGAAAGAAATGCCTTTGGCAATGAGAAGACAAGACAAGAAACCACTTGTTTCTTAGTCTCCAGGGATGTTACAAGATTAATTAGCAGATGTCTGTAAACTGTATTGCAATCTTTAGATTGAGGGTTCTCTCTTACTGCTCTTGACATGACATCAGTACAGCTCCTTCTTTAGGCTGTATGTGAACTCAGGCCCTATCAAATTCCCAGCTTTCCTTCCCAGCAAATTCATTATGCGAGGAAATGGAAATTTCACAGTCATAGCATTCACTTGCTACACATTGTTGGGCTACTTGCAGCTGCAGGATTAAAACAGGTCTGCCTTCACAAGCAGCCTTTACACATGCATACACACATTCTGCTACATAAACTGAGAAGAGGCAGATAAGGTGTGAGCTTGAAGATGTTCTTCTCTGATAAGACTTACTAGATATTCCCAATTATCAAGAATCTGACACCAAAATATTTGTCATATATAATATTTGTCACAGGTTATGGAAAGAGACAAGAAAGTGAATAGAGACATTAAAGTAATTCATTTTAATTTTAAAATTAAAATGAAATTATGAAGTAGAACTATCAACATAAAGAAAGTATAACTGATCTATGAAAATCAGTGTTGTAGGAAGCTGTGAATGTCAAAAGCAGTACTGTGACTGGACAAATTCAATGAAGAAAAGATATAGATGCAAGCACCAGCACAGAACTCCCTAAACTCTATTTTACCAGAAGCTGGGAAAGGAGAGCTCCCATTTTACTCTTTCTTATTACAGTTAACTGTAAGATGCAAAATTTGGCAGCATCATTTCCACCTTTGGTGCTGAATTTTATAACATCCTTTTAAGGCCAATTTATTTTACTATCTATTCCAAAAAGATGAAGACTTGCCTGAAATCAGGCAGACACAAGTCAGTAAGTCCTATGAAGTGCATAGATTCCACACCATTTATTCCAACAAGCTTTAATCAAGCTAGATCTTAACATCAGCCTCAAGATGATTTTCAACCTCTCTTTGCCTCCCTTCTTTTTCTTGCCTCCTCCCTCTTAAACACAAACAAAATAAATGAAATTCTAGGCACTCACTAATGCAAGAAATACAAAGAAATGAGGGCATAATGAAGGACTCTATTTCACAGGCTGGAAAAGTACATTTCTAGAACCACGACTAACCGGTTATAAGAAGTAAGTGATCATGTGTTTCATAAGTTACATTTGAAGAAATTCCTTTTACATAGACGGATATTATTAAAAATTATTTATATGCTTTGGGGCATATAAAAGAAAGAGCGTGAACTCTGTTAAAATTCTACTCCATGCACTTCTTACCATTAAGGTTAAAAACTTGGTTAGGGCCAGTTTGGACTTGACCATATCTCGTGAGAGTTACTTGTTTGCTCACATCATCTTCAAGGACTAGTGTTATAGACTCAATGCAGGCATGGTCAAAGTTCTAAGTAGAAACAAGTTTCACCGTCAGAAGCAAAGACATTAATATTACCATGGAAAGCAAAACCAAACAAAAGAGAATAAACAGCTGTATAGAAAGGAAATACCAGAACTGTCATCAGGTAAATGAGTTGTAAACTGTCACTCAAAGCATTAAACAAAGCACCCTAAATTGTATCTAGAACATAATAAAACATTGCATATGCATATAAGAGCAAGAAGAATGCATTTTAGCTCTTAAGGCAATTTAGTAGCAAGCGGACAGACATCCCCCAGTACTGGCACTGGGTTCAAAAGGACATACTTTCACAGTACTCCTCATTGCTGGGCTAATCAGTGTTTGAGCAAGTCTGATGCCATCTATAGCAAGCTGGTGCAACCAGAGCCCAAATGCAGCCAGTCCAGCAGAAAGAAACTATTGTACACATGAACATACAATTCTCATCTTGAAATGTAGTCATGCTCTCTGACTGCAGACCAAAAGGATATAATTTCTCCAGAATTACACTACAATAATATACCAATATCTGACTATCAAAAAATGGTGACTTACAAACTAACTCACACCCATCATTTTAGAGTACTATCCAGGCAGAATTTATGAACATAAGTACAGGACAAAAGGTGACACATAATTAAACCAAGGATCTATGGTCCCCAGGGCCCCTATGTTTTCATCCAGAAACTTTCCAAGCTACCTAGTTGTGATAAGGGTAATTTTTAGTAGTTTCCTTGTGTCTCAGTGGCTACCTAACTAATCATTTCATGAGGCCATCTGAAATGCAAAAACAGGAGGCTCAACACCTGTGCAGGAGAAGGAGGTGCTTACAAAAAAAAAAGCAGAGGCACCTGCTCATAGTCTAGTTTTTGAAGGGACAGGAGATACAGTCCCATAGTATGGCAGCTTTAGTGTATCACTCCCTGCTGATGAGTTGAGCCATCCCAGCCCTCAGCACACTGGCAACTGTGAGTCACAGTCTCAGAGCTCCTTCTCCTGAGAGTCTCGGTGACTAATAACATCATTGAATCGAGTCTCGCAGATAAGTGCTCTTTACAAACACCTCTATTAGTAAAGTCTGTTGTTGGACACCTGCCAAAATGTATTCAAACAAAGATGTGTGGTGGCTAGTCTCTTCAGTAGTTTTCTAAAAGGCATTTTTCCAACAAAGTAAATATGCTATAACGTATCAAATAAAAATCTAAAGCTACCAAAAAAAACCCTCTTGCCTACCTAGCATGTATTAAATCTGTTCAGTGCTGCCAGCAAGAGCTTTTCTAAAGCCTAAGACATCTGTTTGTACCATAACCAAAGATGTTTATACTTGTTTAATGTGCATAAGTGAATAATTCTTTAGACTTTATCCCTTTAAGATGCAATTTGTTTTACAAAAGGCAACACATGTAGCAATATAGACACTTACATTAAAAGCTGCAAAATGGTTTCAGTAATTTACAGTAGAACCTATACAAGATTGCCTGAAATATGGATGGACATGTTTCTGACTTACCTGTCCACAAGGTGCTTTCTGTAAAGTGATTGTGAATTTGGTTTTCCCAGTACCTTTTACTAAAATGTACTGGCAAATCCCAAGAAAGGTAAAATGACGTCCATCAAATGTTGTGAAATGAGAGCTACCTGTGATGGAGCACTCAGCTTGAGAGAAAAAGGATAAACAAGAATGTTTACTTGCATAAAAATGTATCATTATTCTGTAAATTATGTAAGCGAGATAAATAAGAAACTTTCTCCTTATTTCTAAGCATATAATCTAGGTTAACTTTAATCTATCTAGCTATCATGGCATTTGGAAATAAAATACTTTATATACCGCTATTTCCATCAGATATACCATTTCACATTGAGACATCAATGTGCAGCATCTTTAGATTATAACTAGATGAGAGGCCTTTGAATCATGAATTCTCTAAAATTCAAAAGAGTTTTCTCTTTATTACAGTTCTGAAGTTTCCTAGAATCTCCTTCCTCATCATCTTTTGGCATGAATGAGAAGGCAAAATTCTTTCTCTTTCCTTCTAGGTACTATGGCACTGCTTGTTACTGCAGGTATGAAGAGGCTGCAGGTGGCTGTCCTCAGGGCACATCTATATTCATTTTTCAGTTCAAATCAAGAGTGCAGTCCTGAAGCAAGTCTCCAGTGATTCCCACCTACTGCACTTCCATTCACACCATGGGGCAGTGTCAGAGCACATGAACTAATTCATTTTGGCTGCAACTACTGCAGGAGGTGCTCTGTTGGAAAACATCTAACCTGCTCCCGCTACTAATACGAATTCAGTCCATAGGACCAGACTACAGTAGTTACAATTAATCCCCGACATGCACACACAACACACACAAGACATATGGAGTGGTTCTCAGTGTCAACTATTTTACACTACAGATCCAACCTGTCAAGCTTTGCTTAGTAACTGTTAAGCCTTGTTCATTATCTCAGTCACAGGGGGCTCCTTAATTTGTAAACAATCCTCTCTGTCACAAGTTTCATAGTATAATCTCATCTAAGATAAAGAACTGTCAAGGGAGTTTCACTACCCAACTAATGCATGTTCCCTTGAGTAACTCAGTACAGAAACATGTAATCTTTAAAGATAAGGATCATTATCCAAACACGAACTGCCATTACAAGGGAGAAAATACAGCACACTGAACATCAGAATGATAGTTTTCTTATTATATGCATTACAATTGCACCTAGAAGTAAGGAGATCCTTGGCCTAGGTACTGCAGAGGCAGTAGAACTAAGCCATCTGCCCCAAAGAACATAGAGCATAAACAGGAGACAGAAAACAAGACGAGGATGTAACACAATGAGTTAGGAAAGCAAATAGGAAAACAAAAAATTAATATGGTCAGGCAGTTAACAGCTTTGCACCAGCTGGCTCATTGCTACTCTCAACATCCATTACTTAATCTTTCTTCTTAAATTAGCATCCCAATCCCTTGGATCATATTTGCTTTTGTTGTCTTCTGAAAAGTTCATCCCTTATGTTTACTGAGGAGAGAAAAGAATAATGAAATACAGATACCTGGGCAATCATGATCAGTGCAGTTCCAAATGCCACCAATACAAATACTAGAAAGAAAAATCACAAAACAAAAAATCGGTGTCCAGATCTTTAGCAAAAAGAGCAGTATTGTGCTAACTAATATGTCTTTAATTCACCTTTTCCATAGATTAGCCTGAATATTTTAGTGATAGGGCTGAGACTATAAAACATAGATATTTACTATTCTTTAAAATGTAAGTGTGACTATGATGTTAAACTAACATTGGGAAGCAGTCACAGAGAGAGGAAACACAGGTGTGGGGCTTTCACATACCAGTTGCTACACTCTTGTTCAATTTTTGAGCCTACAGGGAAGGCAGTTCCGTGATAAATACAAGGACAATTCGACACAGAGATACAAGTTCCATTTTCCATAATGAGACCTATTAGGAGGGAAGTTAATAAATGAGATGAGAACCAAGTTAATAAACTCTGGATCACTGCTTTTCCCCCACCTGACTGAAACACTCAAATCTGCCAGAAGGTGATCCCACCAGTCTTAACCGGGGACCGACAAAAAGAGTTGCCTGATGAGTGCAGAGCTCAGAGTGGTGAACAGTGTTGCTCTCTCAAAGCAGTTGTCACTCTGAAGAGTTGCTTTATGAAAAATGTTTGCCTTAAGCATGTGAAGCTGTATAGACTCAAAAAATTGAAAGATCCTGGTATCTCACAATGTTTAGTCCTTCTAAAAGAGGACTGTTCATAGTCCAATCCCTGATTTCTATTGAGTACAGGTCTCACTATTTGCTTCGTATTTGCTTCCTTGCACAGAGCATACATAAGACACACTCTGTTTAAAATAAATCACAACGGATTTTGGAATAATTCAAATAAAAGATTAAATCTATGCAATATTTTATTGTAGCAAGCATTAGTGATGGCTCCAGATTTTAAGTGATATTTCATTCAGGGACACTTTTGTATACTAGAAAAATGTTTAGAACACAATAAAAGGAAGAATCACAGTTAGAATAACAAAAGCTAGAGCAGTATTTACAATATTTGTATTTTCAGGCTTTAACTCAAGCACAGTCTATTTAGATAGCTTTATTAGGTTGTTGGATATTAGCTTTACACATATTTTTTTCACACAAAATTGACAGTACTTACCATCTGGACAGTAACAGCCATCTAAGCAGTGTAGGTTGCTGCCAAGACAATCTTTTTCAAATGTGCAGGTTGGTGGACAACAACTGATACAATCACGGTGTACAAAGCTGTCTTCACACTTCTCAGCTACAAAAAATACATGGCACATTGAACATCAGTGCAATTTCTCCTTCCATGCTGGAGAACCTCTCTCTCTCAAAAAACCAGTTGTGCAATGTTTCTAGTATAGCTAATTATTCAGTTCAAGTAGAATGGATTGTTTGGAGAGGTTTTAACTGACAAACTGTGGTGAATCTCTCATCAATATTTAAGTCTTTCTTTACCAAGTTCTTACATCACTCCTCCAAAAGAATTTACAGTTTCTGTGACAGGAGAACATGTGATCGTATCTCAGCTAGTTCAAAATCTTATGCATGAGACAACTGCAGTTGATGAGTGGTGGTGATAACTAAAAGCAGCTGGTTTAACTGAATTAATTCTGTAGGGCCAGTAGGGGCTGAAAGGTCATCCAAGACGGGCAACATGAGAACTCTGCAGATGTTTGTTCTTTGTCCTAGAATACAGCCAGCACACATGATGTTTCAAGTGATTTGTCAAAACATGAGTTGTGTATGGATCTAGATCAGATCACAATGGAATTAAAATATTCCTCTAGCAAGACACTGGCTTCATTGTTCTCTAGTAACAGTGAAGCTGGCTGATCTACTTCAATAACAGGTTTGAGTCCTATAGTGATAAATGTTGTCAAGATGGAATTATTTGAAATTGATATACTGGATATCTCAAAGGTCATGTAGTATTCTTTGTTAAAGAGACTTACTACAGGCAGGAAAGTCATCCCTCCAGTCCTGCACAGGGGACCCAGCGTGAGAGCATGCTCTAGCATACTCTGTCACCGCCCTGCAGTATGTTTCATCATCATCCATTCTGAAATGATAAAACAAGAGTAATGAAGGAAATCAAATCCTACCTACAAATCTCTGCCATGGGACACTGCTCAGGATACTTCACACATAGTTGACACCACTCAGTTGTAGCAGCATATAGTGAAAATACTATGAAAAGGAATGAGCTACACTGAATACACTGTTGTGTTTGTATCATTTGATAAAAACCACCATTCCTGCATGACATGGAAACTCTGACCTGCACTGATAAAAGACATTCTGGTCCAAGTAACAAGTTCAAGTTTCTAATTGCCTGTCAGTCCTTGAATTTAGGCAAGAAGAAACCTGTTGGTGGAGTTCTGACTTTGTGCCAAAGTGCTCAGCACCAGAAGCATTATCCGCTGAATGCTGAAGACAGACTCAGGGATTTATATCACAACCCTGGACAAAGGCATTATCTCTGACTTAGTCTATATAGAAGAAGCTGTACAGTGCGCTTTTACCAGGACCAAGTAAAGAGATGTTCATCAGTGCTAAGTGAACTCAAATTTTGTTCAGATTAAGTCACAGAAGATGAGATATCACCAACATTTTTTACTGTGAAAGTCCAACAAATCCCATCACTCACTGTGGAGGACTTGATGCCAAAATGAACTAGTCATAACACGACATTTCTATTATAAGCATGACTGTGACAGATGAGCTGAGTTTGTCTTTCAGCACACAAGATCATGTTTCCAAAATTAATGTTCTTAGGAATATATTATATTGTGTTTGTATTCTGCTTTCAGCACATCTGTTGTCAAATCAAACACCACTATACTCTTTGTTACAGTGATCAGAGTCTCTCCAGCTTTCCTTATCTAATCCAATTAAATGGATCTTAATGAAAAGAATACTTGGCATATAGTATGACCCTACAAGAAATTTCATAAACTGACACTAAGCCACAAGAAGAGAAGTCTCTTTTATAAACAAAATAAGCCTAAATTAATGAGGTTCTGAGACATAGAAACTTCCTTCAAGGTTTTTAACATTCACACAATCCACATCGACACACACATAAACGTTGACAAAAATCAAATCTGTCTTTACAACATGATACTGATTCAACATCACATTTGAAAAATGCTTTTTGAAAATTTGCTTTTCATTGTTCTGCTTCAAAAGTCACAATAAACTCCTGAGTTACAAAGAGACCATAAAGAGACAATTCATCTCTTTCTGAGTGCAATCAATATACAGATCATAAACTTCAGGAAGCACACTTTGGAGATTTGCCTAGGAACACAAGTTCTTCCATCTTGACTTCATGGTAAATCGGAAAACTAAAACACTAGGTGACTTTTACATTTAGTCTTGTGATTGTTTTGTATGTTTTTGATTAAATTGATGATAATCTGAGAAAGCCATAATAATATTTGGTAAAAATCCTGCTATCTATGACAGTTACATTTAATTTAAAAATCCCACTAAAAAGGAAGTGGCACAGTGCTCAGTCATCTATCCAATTACACTCTGGAGCACCAATTTACCTTGAATGACAAAAGCTAAACAGGAGTCTGGAGAGTTAAGGGAAAAATACCAGGTTGCATATAATGCCAGCAGTTGAGGGGGTGTAACTCCCACCAAAGCCAGTGAGAGATGAATTTCTTTTTGCAACTCTGTATTTATATAAATAAAACAATTCTGAAAAATTCTACTGATTTGAACCACAGTGCTCATAAAAAAGTCCATCTGTGTCAGATGAATGGTCCAGCTCCTCCAATATCATTAATATTGTCTCCTAGTATCATCTTCATGTATTTTTGATTCAGGACCTCCAAATACAGGTTTCAGGTTTTTTGTGATTAGCAGCTCCTCTTTCATCATTAGTGATTCTCCATGGATTTCTCTGCCATGTATTTGTCTAATATTTCCTTGAACCTATGTCAACCTTTAGCAATCAGAATATCCCTAGGCAGGCTCATTCTGTGCCCTCTGTTTCTACACTAAATCACCCACTGACAAACCCCATCTCTTTCATTTTGAACTTGGTTCCTCCTAACTTCCCTCAATGCTACTCCATTGTGGTCTCCAACAAAAGTGTAAGCATTCATTTCATGTGTCAAAAATAAATACAGAACTTGAGTCTTACCTGCAAAGATCATTCATGCAGCTAGAAATATAAGAATACGGATCTATGCTTTCATGACAGCTGAGGAAAGGAAACTGTAGAAATATTTGGCATTTGAAGAATATGTCCTGTGCATTAAGGAGAATCAGTAAACAACAGTTAGCAAATACTTTCTGAACAAGCATAATTCTTATTAGCTTTGTTTCCTTAATCGAGGGGCCTTTAGATCCCCACTAAAATTTCAGAATCTCTCAGTCTCATAATTTATTATTATGTCTCCTTCATTAGTCTTCCTAAAATTTGTCCTCTCTGCCTAGGCTGTCCTCATTGCATGCTGCTCCTAAACCAGCTGGGATAAAAAAGTGTGAAATGACAAAAAAAAAATGATTTTGTGTCAATGCAGGAGCCAAGCATGTTACTTCTGCAGGATTTCACAATTTCCAAAATAATTAGGTGTTAGATGCCAGGACTGGAAACTGAACCCAAGTTTACTGCAGCAAAGAACAGCTCTGCCAGCAGAGCTGTGCTACCTGGCCTTTGTACTTTTAAGCTAAAGATCTGAAGATCTTCAGACATTCACTAGCAACAGTCCTGATCTGAATCTTTCTCCTCAAAGCCTCAATTCATTTAAAGCTTTTTTCAACATGGTGTATGTTGCTAGATTCTTGTACCATTGCTAGGCCATAAAGATTAAGAATGATTTATTTACCTCAATGGATTCTGCATCAGCTGAGCAAGGACTGGAAAAATCTGAGGCAGTAGGTACACAAGCTACATCATCTGTAGTTTGCACAGCCCAGCTATTTGCAAATTCAGCAATGTCTTCTGTATATTCACCTACTGCAGGAAGACGTTGGAAGAGCACACAGGAAAAAAAAAAAGTCAAACTGTCATCACAAACTCCAAAGACAACTTAGAAATTTCTGGTGTTTTTCAATGTGTCCATTACCTCACTTACAGATATGTTCAGAGTACAGGTGGTGTAGAAAAATCTTATTTTTCTTTTTTAGTTTAAGTATTTTCTACTGCATTTAAATGAAAAGATTAAAAAATATATGACAAGGTGTTAGTTGGGGTTATTTTAAGAGCAGTAAATGACAATTTTATTACAAATATACAAATAAGGACAAGCATAATGTATTGAATATTCGCAAAAAATAAATTTCTTTAAAACCATTTAAGGCTTCCATCACATTTCACAAATATCAGTCAGCGCTATTATCTCCTTCCTTTTCCTTTGCTACAGAAAAGCCCTAAAACAAACACACCACTACATGCCCAGCTCTTCTCACAACATTAGCATGGGAGAATTAATGAACAAGATGCATGACTGGAAGTCATGGCAACAGGCTGAGGAAGATACATGAACATACAAGAAGTCTGGCAGCAAAAAAGAGACCCAAAATTTCCAGAGGTTTGTGGCAAGAACTAAATATTACATTTTCTCTATGTTAAGTATGTTAAAAAGGGTAAATTGTGTATACTTTCAAGAAACTTATAGTAATTGGTATCTATGCTACAGTTGTCTGTATCTATGCATGGTTAGGAGTCAGGGTACTGAAATTAAATCAGCTACAGTTCTTTCCACAGAGCTGTACTATCCAAAATTTAATCTAACTGCTTCTAAAACAATATGTACAAAGTTTGACACCACAGTGTAGAAAGTCCCAAAGCACACTAATCAGATATTTATACTTGGATCTCCACAAATAAACAAAGATAAGATCCTAACTACCAGTCTATTTTACTTAACAGCCAGAGAGACTTAAAGCATTTCTCCCCCTCAGAACAGTTCTTTGCACAGAAAACCCTTCCCAAACATAAAAATCTGGGGTTTGATCTAAAGGTAAACCTGTTTACATAACTCTGCTTCTGCAAAAAATATTAAAAATATTTTATTTACATTTCTACATGGCTTGAAAAGAATTTCTAAGTAAGTCCTCCAAAAAGCAGCCACAAAATAAAATCACTGTCCTTGAAACAGTTCCGTACACAAATACAGGCTGTATATTAGAGCAATACAAAAATGCCATTAAAGATTAAGGAAACAGAAAAGGAATTTGTTCTTAAACTGTGGTTTGAAATGGAGTATTACATGTCTTGCAGCAACTTATTTACTTGGGCCGTTCCAAATAGAGAACATTCATAGTCTGGAAGATTCAGAATAGATATAAAGGTGTCCATTACACTACTGGCGGAGTAATTTAGCTGGGGAAGATAAATGATCATCCCAAATGATTTACAAGATTTGGAAAAATTTAGAAAATTTTTTTGGCTTTGACGTAATTTGAATTAGCAGTTCATTCCTGTGAAGATATCAGAACTTCGTGCTTTGTATTTGCACAGAGTCAAGGCCCCATGTTATACAACGGTTCAAGGTTAAAATGATTCATAGAGCTCTTGATTGTACACTACAGTAATACCATAGTTTCTGATAAAGAAAAAGTTAGAGGAAATTATGATGGTGAAGAAATGCAGCTCTGGAAATTAAGAAATCTAAGAGCTAGAAGTCTTCTATAACTGACAATACATTTAAATATATTGAAATTACTATGTTTTAGAGACCATGAGGATTCATTATCTCCCCAAATTCCATTTTTCTCCAGTATTACAGATCACCAGTTTTAACTAGTTACTAAACATACTATACTCTGCTGTGCAGAAGATAATGCATGAAACAGGAAACTTACTGCTCTTGTGGCAGAAGAATTACGAGAAATATATATTGGGCAGATTTTTACAGACTATTCGAAGAGAGGTGCACTGTGTCTTCCTTCACTTAGAAAGTCAAAAAGCACCACTATCAACTATTAAAAATGGGAAAAACCCCAGGGAGAGGGGAAAATAGTTTCAATGAGATAACTTCTGTGACATAAGAATATGCAGGGTCATGGGTTGAGATCCTCTCAGCAATGAATGGTAAAGTAAAACAGTCCTGTCCTTGTTTTTATCAGTCTGAGAAAAATATTCCTCACATTCTCAAGCTTGTTCTTTCTCTGTGGTTTGGTTTTTTTTTTTCACATTAGTTGCGAGTAGAACAAAATTCCCTGTAGAGTAGTTCCTATATAGCCTACAGAATATTCTACCAGTTTAGCAAGTCACTTCTGCCTCAGGCACAGCATTCAGCAGCTCGTTATCCTACAGGGTAGTCAGAGGCCTATGATACATCATACCATCACACCAATCTTGTATGGAGACAAGGGACTCCCTGGAAACAGCTTTGAAATTTACATATTTCAACTGGCACTTCTATGATGCTCATATAAAGGAATGACTGGAGATAGTGCTTTTTGCAAATATTAATATTTTGGTTCCTCTCCTTCTCTCTCCATCTTTAAACATAGAGAAAACCACAAGCATTTGTTTATTTACTTATTATTTGAAGGCACTTTCATCAGCTAAGATAAACATACCCCAAGTGCTTTGCTGAGCAAGAAGAGACTTAAACATACATATAAATACTTTCTTGAACGTTTTCCCTTAAAAACTTTAATTATAAGGATGAGTACAGCAGATATTCTCTTTTCTACTGAAAGAATTGAAACAGGACTCTACTTTCTTACAGTATTATATTTAAAGTGAACATGGAACCTGTTCACTCAAGAAAGGGTGTATTTCTAAGCTATTTACTTACTGTTTTGCAGTTTCAGGTCATCATGTTTATTGCCATTAAAATCTCCACAGAGGCCACAAGGTTTTCCCTTATGATCTTCTGTCAGCTTAATATAAATACCAGAGTTTCCATCCCAAGCAAGAGAAAAACCAAAAGTGGTCTTCACCAGAATATAGCCAGCCAGTCTCTCAAAGAAGGCATTTCCAATTGTCTGAGGTAACACTAATCTGAAAAATGAACAACCTCCTTAAGGTGAGATAAGGTTAGTGCTAGAAAAATACCACATAAAACGTCACCTTCTAACCGACTAAGTCCTCTTTCCCAGGTGTATACAGTCACTTCTTCATCCTGTTTTTACTATCTTTTCTTCTGTTTACTTCTCTATATGAATGCTGTTCTGTATACAGGTATTGGTTGTACCAATTAGAAGCCTGAAAGAATAACGAATCTTCGTTTTCAAAGCCCAGCATGGGCACATTGAGGAATACATGATTTCATGAGTGAGGAGCTGTGTATGACACTATCTATTTCCTAACTGGCAGCCCTTTTGGGCACAGGGTCATCACTGGGTTAGACATCTGCACATGGAGGAACTTACAGTACAGAAAATACTATTGACCAAAATAATGTGTATCTTCCTCCTTTGGCCAAAGACCACTGGACAACAACATGGCAGCACAGAGGTAATCCTAATCTTCCAAAATTGTTTCCGTTGGGATGAACAGAATCGCCGTAGCTATCAGTCTCAGATGCTAACAGATACAACATTTTATCAAAAGGGACGGCCGCAACTCTTTGAAATTTCCTGTACTTTATCAACCAGTAAAACATATTCATGATAGTATTGCACTCATCTTTTTACTTATTAAAAAAAGGCAAATTTGAGGGTTTGATGTACATCAGAGATTGATTGTGGGGTTTTTGCCTAAAAGGGGACTTAAGATCTTTAGTTCACCCAATTCAGACTTGTCTATAAGATTATGGCTTACATTAAGTATTGCTGCCAAGAATAAATAATAAATTCCTTGATGAAAATGGTATTAGGATGCACCAAGGATTACCTAGAATTGTCTGATACAGACTTTGTCTATACAAAGTAGGGATAGGTGATTGTTAGATTACAGCTGAGAAGTCGAACACAGGATTCATGTGGGAAGTCTATACTATCCTCACTCAGGTATTACATTTGCACCATTACATCTGCTCACACAAGACCTCTGTCAGAGCAGAACAATATAGAACAGCGAGCAATCAATAAAGATATATATCCAACTATTTTTTCTGGCTGGTGTAAAAAGCATTGATTTCCCAAACTCCACACTATCTCTTTGCAACAAAATGTTAAAACCAACCATTAGAACACTTACCTGATTCCATCTTTCCTCACTTCATGTCCTAAAATAATTATTTCTTCTTGATTTGAAACAAATAAGCTGATGGACCTCTGACAAGTATATACTGAACCGTAACAGTGAGGGCTGTTATGAACCTTAGAGAGGAAAAATATACACACAGTAAGAATAAATGTTTGTTCTCAATAATGTCATCATGCAATTTTTCATAAACTCATATATGATATTCTTCATTTCTCTGCACCCATTACCAATAGAGCTTTACAAATAAATACTTAGAATACAAAAAATCACAAAGATATGCAAAACTAGAAGTTCACACTGTCCAGTACTACTGAGAAATACAGCAACTGTTTAATAGCACAAATCATCACAAGACAGTGGGTGAAATACTGGGTGGCATACTCAGGTATTTTATGTAGATGAACTTCAGGGACATTGTAGTGAGATAGCTTTTAACTGTCAATGTAGGACCTTGTTAATTGCACTGAGGAGACAATCGTATTGCTCTGTTTCTAGAGGTCTGATCTGTAAGAGGGGACTACAAACCAACACAAAACTTCAGCATAATACCAGCGTTCTCCATGTCAGATGAGACTGGCACTGGCTGAACTACAGTATACCTTCCTGAACTACTCAGAATTTGTTGAGATTTTGGAGTGATCCCACAGAATACTGCAGACATCTGACATACATGGATCTATTAAAAGCGATTTCACACTGGCTTTCCAGCCTGCTGACGGAGAAGGGCAGGCTTTTCCGAAGTCTGCTTCTCCCCATTATACATATTTAGCATAGTTAGCCAGGGTATTGGTTTGAATCACATATCAGCTTCTCTAGTATGAACACAGCAATGGAAATACAAGTTTCAGTCAGACAGGGAGAGGTGCAAAACTGTATATCTCGGATATTAGCTATGTGTGACTTCCATGGCTGCCCACTACTAGAGAGAAGTGTTAAACAGTTCTCAGATGCATGCTTCCAGAAAACAAGATCATGCAACTCCTATCTCAGCATGTCTACATTTTGATGGCATTCAAGTAGATCTTGCATAAAAAACGTATAATCAGACCCTGAAACCAGCATGGTAAGACAGCACTCTTCCTTTATATAGTTTGGCAAAAAGGAGGGTGCCCCTGAAGTCAGACTTCTTTGCATTCCCAGCCTTCTGCATGGCAGATCACGATTCCTGCAGGAAGGTCCCTGTCCCCAGAGACCACACAGCTTTCACTGGCCAGGATGTTCTCTCAGGACTTGAAAATTGTGGGTTTAGATTTACTCTGACTGGTGATAGGGATACAGGTCTCCAACTCTCTGTGCATATGCTCTAAGCATTTAACTACTACACAGTTTACACTCATGTAGTCTGAGTGAATTTTAAGCAAGTACCTACTCCAAGGGCTTGAGCAAAACTTCAACAGCTTTCATTAATCTCAGTGAAACTCAGCCACCCAAACCTGTGGGATGCCCTAGACTATCGTCTGTGAGCTGAATTTAGACCACACTGAGGAGGCAGAGGAATGAGTTGTGAATCTTAGGTACCTATCATTACCTAAATTAAAATGTAGACAGAGTGTAGGTAGCTTGAATATGACTCCTATAAGTATGTGTCACTGTTCTCTCAGAAGGATGGGAGTTGCATTGCCAGTTTGACAACACTGAGAAGCTAAATAGATCACTAATTGGGAAACGTCTTGCCAATGTAGTGATGGAAACTGTAAAAGTAACTAGACCTATCAGGTTTTTAGGAAAGATCTGTTGGTAAACACACACAGTGCTAACACATACTCAAATTAATCTTCCTAAACTGACACTTAAACCTGGAAGTAAAAACCAGTTACTGTTTCTCTGAGTGAAATAAACCAAACCAGGGAAAGCATTAGAGTTTCTACATGTATAAAGATAATAATAATTAAAGACATCATAAATGGTACTAGTATTGATGAATGGTTTTTAATGTAAACCTGGAGCAAGACAGAAACATAACCAAGGAAAATTAAATAATTCTTGTATTTTCTTCTGCTCTGGACAGGTGGATTATTAAAGTCAGAAGGACAATAATGTGAGGATCTGGCAAAGTTCTTGGCTCTCCATTGCCCAGCCTTTAGTGACTGCAGAGCTTCAAAATTACTTATGACTTTTCTGAATAAACATTTTCAGTTTTTAGCAAAACATGACGTTTATTCCAGCAATTGAATGGTAGTTTCTCTCTTTCCAGAGCAGATGGAATCCACTCAAATATTGATTCTAAATTTTAATATAAGCTTGGGCTTTGCTACAGCATTTTCTAAAAACTCCTGGAAGATCATAGCTGCACACGGAATCCAAAGAATTAAAATGAAATCTTGGAAGACAGATGTACTGGTGTCTGTCTATAACTTGAGTGAACAGAAATGGCAGTTTTAATGACAGATTTGTCTTCACTAGATGCTATTATCTGGGGGAAGAGGAGGCTATGTGTTTATAAAGGAAAACAAGTCCTTGGAGCTGAAATCAGCATCTAGGTCTGCCCTTGCTCCTGTGAGCACTGTGACCGCCAGGGCTTAGAACTAGGATCCATCTTGCCCCCTCTACCCTGCCCAATCAACATCAAATCCCAAACATTGTGTAAAATGTAATATAATGATCTCAACTCCTCTCCCCACAGCAACCAACAGCCTGATAAATAAGGCATCTTCCTTCAAAGACGGTATACGTATGAACTCTCCCTGACCTGAAGTCATTAACCACTGATACTCAGCAAATTGAGGAAATTACTAAAAAGAGTGCCTTCCATACGTAGTCCAAGATGAAGGCTTTTGAGCTGTTAATCTTCTCTGCATGACATAGAGGTAACCTAAAATTAGAATGTAAATCCACAGAGGGGCCAGAGTTTTCCATGGGCCAGGGAGACAGCTCCCCATAAGCATGCCAATGGCTGTGAATCGGGACCCAGTATGCTCAGGAGCCCAGCTCTCAGGCAGGTGATAGCTGCTTGCACTTTATTCAGCAACTGAAATTTTATTACAACCTGACAGCTAAATTTTACTGGTGTTTCCAAGGTCTGCTTTAAGACCTTTGCTTTCAGAAAGGAGAGATCAGAGGTCCTTTTTAGGATAAGGAGAGTAAGAAATACTATTTTTAATATACTGACTGTTGATTATCATTTCATCAGTGGTTTGAGTTACTATACATAGGCTTAGATATTTTCCGGCAGCATAGTTTTATATTTATGAAAGCAATGCAACAGCCTGATCCACTTACTGTCTATTTATTTTACTTACAATGAAATGCCTGTAATACAGGAATACTCAGTATATTATTTCTAGCATATGCTCACATACTTACCCAAACAGTGTACTGGGGTTCTGGAGTACTGCAGTCTTTTGCAAAAATATAGGAGCAATTTCCTGGGAAGTAGTAGTAGATGCCATCGAATGTTTCAAAATGATACTGTCCCCATGATTTGCAAATCCCATCTCGGTCCTTACCAGTGTTAGGTACTGGAGAGAACATGCTGAGTTTACAAGCAGCACAGTAAAAAACTGACAAGTGTCAGAGACATCTACAAAAGTAAAAGCTCAGAAAGGAAATAAGATCTTAAAAGGAAATACATAGCAAGGACAAAAGATAACATCATTTCTTCAGCTTTTAAGTCATTTTGTTTTGGTTTTTTTTAAATCCATAGGCTGCAGTTTTAGTCATGTGCAATCACTGTAAGTTTTTCATTTGCTTCAGTGGAGACATTTTAGTTATTTATACTTCATCTCATGAAGTTCTGCCAAGCCAAGTGAAAGGTCCTACACCTGGGTCAGGGCAATCCCAGGCACAGCTACATGTTCGGTGGAGAAGAGATTCAGAGCAGCCCTGCAGACAAGGACTTGGGGTGTTGGCTGATGAGAAACTGAACATGAGCCGGCTTCAGTGTGTGCTCGGCACTGAGTGAAAGTGTGTGCTTGCCCCTTTCACCCAGAAAGCCAACCATGTCCTGGGCTGTGTCAAAAGAAGCATGACCAGCAGGTCGAAGGAGGTGATCCTGCCCCTCTACTCTGCTCTTGTGAGACCCTGCTTGGAGCACTGTGTGCAGTTCTGGTGTCCTCAATGTAAGAAGGACATGGAGCTATTGGAGTAAGTCCAGAGGAGGGCCACAAGGATGATAAGGGGGCTGCAGCACCTCCTGCATGAAAACAGGCTGAGAAAGCTGGGGCTGTTCAGCCTGGAGAAGAGAAGGCTGTGTGGAGACCTCATAGCAGCCTTCCAGTATCTGAAGGGGGCCTACAAGGATGCTGGGGAGGGACTCTTCATTAGGGACTCCAGTGGTAGGACAAGGGGTAATGGGTTTAAACTTAAACAAGGAAGATTTAGATTGGATATAAGGAAGAAATTCCTTACTGTGACAGTGGTGCAACCCTGGCACAGGTTGCCCAGAGAAGCTGTGGCTGGCCCACCCCTGGCAGTGTTCAAGGCCAGGATGGATGGGGCTTGGGGGAACCTGGTCTAGTGGAAGGTGTCCCTGCCCATGGCAGTTTGGGTTGGAACTAGATGATCTGTAGTGATTCTGTGATGTATGTATGTTTACCTACCCAATCGAAGAAGCAAGGGATTTAGGTCTGCTGCTGATCTTGGAAAACAATTCTTGTTGATCCCTACACACAGAAACCATAACCCTACACTGGTTCCAGAAACAAGTGTATTGAAATAGCTGGTGATTTTATTTGCAATAAGTCACTGTTTGTTAGAAAAATGCAGTGAGTTTTGGTTGTTGAGCTAACTATTAAAAAAGTTGGCCAGCTACTGATGTACTAGACAGTGATCTATCTGTTATGGTATCTATGCATCATTACAGCACAAGTGCTAAAATGGAGGCATTCCT